ATGATGATTTTGATGACTCCAGAACCTTGCATTACACACCATTACTTACAGTACTTGCTATATGATCAACTTTTCTGATCCATTCCACACCTTTTCTTTCACAATGCAATCTCATTACTAGAACTCAAGTTTAGCTTTAACTCCCACATTTAATCCTGAATTCATGAGCGAACTAGACCTATGGCTTAAATGATTTTGAATGATCTTGGATAAGAGGTGCTGCATTGGAGTGATCCAAATCCTTCATGCCTATCATAATATTGTTGTGTCAAGCTCTTCAGTAGTACAGATAATATTAACTACCACATCTAATACTGAATCCATGAACAAACTAGACCCATGGCTTAAATACGATTCTCTCAGTGATATATTCAAGGTAGTTAGATATTAATTCATAGGATATGACTATAACCTTTCAGTGAATAAGAAATTTTGCAATTATTTGAGATACGCCCACACATGTACACTGTAGGACAGCGATTGCTCTTATTTTTGTTTCTGTTCTACTTTTCTCATATGCAAATTATTAATCGTTAGAATAATCAAGGTTCTTTGATGTGGGTTGAACTTGAACCAATTATATTTTCATTTTTTTATTTATTTATTTATTTATTTCGGTTTAAAAAGACACATAAATATGCATGATTCAAAGGTCCAAGGACCAAAACTGATCATGTTTACAAGTTATACAATACAGTTATAAATACAGTAAATATACAATAGTGAGCCAAACGAACAGGTATGACAAGTACAAGGTAATAAAGATGAACAAAATAATACATTTCAATTAATACAATACCAAAATAAACTAAGAGAAAGTAATAGTTGCATACATCATATTTTTGTTAACCACTGCTAGTGTAGGAGTGCACCGACATTTTCTCTGACCTCTATTAAATGAAAAGACATGAATTTGGGCATGAGAACATGAGATTAGGGTGAGAGTTTGAGTTCTTGGCCAAGGGTAACTCATCAGAGCTCTTTGTCCATCTAAAATTGCTTCTTTTGTTTGGTGAAAGTATCTTGAAATCACACCTAGGTCCCATTGCATTAAAATTGAGTGTTGATTGAACTTTGCCATTAACAGTCACTTCCATGGAAACCTTGATTTGATTGGCTGTTGAGTGATGCTGCTAGGCCTAAAATAAAAACTTGTTGTATTGCCCTTTGGGTGCCAAAACATGGGTCGGTCGGTCGGAATTTTTTATTATTTTTTTTACCTTTTTTTCCCCCTTTTTTTTTCCCCCCTTTTTTTTTCCCCGCCCTCTTTTGGCTGATATTTATCAGTTTTTAATGCTTTAATACATGTGTTTCAACGTCATCATTCCATTGACATCTTTTCCACCTCATAATTATCCATGGTTTGCACGAGTGAGAATTTTGGAATAATTTGATTTTATGCATTTATATCCCATTTAAACAAACAAAATACAAATTTTTGTATTCATTAATTAAACAAAATCTAAAAAACGGTTTTAAATTTTTTTTTTTTTTAAATGCTGACTGTAGATTTTCAGATTTTGGGGTCGGTCGCAAAGGGCAATACAACAAGTTTTTATTTTAGGCCTTATGGTAGTTGATATGGACTACCATCATTTGTAAGTTGTATGCAACAGGGCCCATGTAAAATTATAAATTATTCTTGCAATTGAAGTAAATGTAATGGTTTACAGGATGAGAGAGGAAGAGAGAGAAGGAGAGAGAGAGAGAGAGAGAGAGAGAGAGGGAGGATAGAGAGAGAGAGAGAGAGAGAGAGAGAGAGAAAAGGGGGGGGGGGGGTAATTGTTACTATTAGAAGCGTTTTTTTTAGGAAGAAAAATGAATAAATTAAAATTGATTCCATGTTGTAGCGAATGACTACATGTATGTTCGATCTGCACAGTCTAGTGTTTTATCAGAATTGAGGAATTGTCTTTTGGTGTAGGCCCTGCATATTCAGGATAACTTTTGTGGTTGCATTGCGGCAAATACCTTCTAATCAATGCTACTTGAGAGCTAATGTGCGTAGCATTCCACTCCTGGTTCAAGCAGAGTAAGACCACTGCACCTTAAAGGGGAGGTCCAGCCTGATATTAAGTTTGTAGAAATATAAAGGAACCGGTCGGTGGAAGTTTGAGCAGCAAATTTTTATTAATATAAGAAATTTGAAGTTGCAATCAATCCAACACAAATTGACAACACTGCAATGTATCTTGTGAGGTCCTATCCAATTTTCTCTGTGCATAAAATTTCATAACCTTTCATTTTCTTTGTCATTGATGACGAAATGTGATTTTTTTTCCCCCCTACAGGGGTTGTATGGAAACACTTTAGCAATAATTATATTTAGGGTGCATGCCTGGACTGAAAATTTTCTTAACTTTCTTATTTTGTATCGAAATTTCCTCAAACTTTCACTAACTTACTGTTCCTGTCATTATTCTACTTCTATCAAAACCAAGTTATTATCAGGGTGAACTTCCCCTTATTTGCTCGATTATGATGGCTAAGAAGGTGAAGTTGAAGGGGGGGGGGGGGGTGGAGGACTGTGCCAAGGTCTACTTGGAAAGGTCACCAGTACGAAGAGACAATAACGATAAAGGTAGATCAATGTAGGAGAGAGGGCACATCCTTTGCTCGCTTTCTAAGTGTTCAGGCAGCAGCAGCCTGCCTGGTTTATGGATTTTATCTTCGTGTAATTACCAGGTGAATTCATGTAAAATTGCAATGCAGGCCAGCGACTCAATGAAGCATAGCATGTGAATACCAGGCCCTTGCTTGCTTGGCATTTACTTAAAGACAGAAGCAGCTTGGAAGTGGAGAGAAGTGTAGCATGGCTGGCCAGCTAGCTCTGATCACACAATGCCTGTCTTCACTAGCTCGAGATTGCCAAATATCCTGCTACTTGAACTATCCCGATCGCAAACTATCCAGCTAATTTGCGTCTTCATCAGCCCGAAGTTGCAATTAGCGGGATATTTGGTCGGGATTATCATCCCAAGATATCTTGGGATAGTTTTCAAAATATCCCACTATTTGGCAAAATATCCAGCTATTGTCCGGTGCATCTTCACCAGACAGAAGACTCGCACTGTGCGCGAACGCTGAGCAAAATATCTTGAGCTAATTTCTCAAGGTCGAGCTTCAAGTTGCAAGGTCGAGTCTCGAGCTGATGAAGACGCTATTTGTAACTTTGGGAGTATTTCCCAAATCAGAAATAGCGGCCTATTTGGCAATCACGAGATGATGAAGACGCGCCTATTGTCATATACGTAGGGATCGGGACATGTACATGTACCATGTTGCTAGGGTTCTATCTAAAATTTTGCTGATGGTTGATAAGTATAGTCAATTTGAAAATACAACATTTTTCCTTAAGTTAAATTCTCCCAGCTTGAAATAGAGATGTAGAATTTTACTATTTTAGTCTGTATGAAAAATGACTTGTTGATTAATTTAAAAAAAGAAAGAAATATCCATTTAACACCTAAATCCAGAGTCATATCAAGCAGTTTTTACATGCTTTTACAGTTACAATAAATCTTTGTCATACGTAGGCTATCTGTACAGTAGTACTCACTGGAGTCACTTCAGTGTTATTTTTCTATTATCAATGAAAACAACTCCTGCTATAGTTCTATTGAAAAAGGTTGCCTCTCTACGGACCACAGTACAAGTATGTGTTTCCTTCCTCCCTTATATATAAACCAACATTTACAAGTTTAAATGTGGACAGGAACTTCCATTGACGTAGGATGCTTATATCACGAGTCAATGGCAAAAAGTCATTGCCAACTGGTTTAGTTATCCATCGGAAATGATGTAAGGGATATACTTGTAGGACTGTTTTTGTGACTTCAGGAAAGCATGTTATGTACACAATGTACTGTGCATGCAGGGGGTACTCAACTACTCATTTACTTTAAATAATTAGGCTCAGATAATGTTTTGTGTAAAAATGTAATTCTGTATTGTTCACTTTATTGTGGGGGAGGGTGCTTGTAGGCAAGTTCATAGATGATTTTTCTTTCATTTATCTCCAGGAAGAGTTTTCTGTATATTCCCTGAGGTTTCTTAAAAATAAATTAAGCAGGACAAAAAAATCTTCCCAGGCTCTGTTGAATCAGGCTGTTCTATAATATGCGTACATGTACATGCAGTACAGTATGTTGTACAAGTATATGTACTTAATGCGTTCTATATGATGACTAATGAGAATTCATCAATAAATCTAATGTTTGGCCAGCAATGTGACTGCATTCACAGTTGGTTGCCCCTATTAATGCATGGTTTTCATAGTACATGTAAGGCCATTCATGTTTATTGACTTTCTTCACTATAGGTATTTTCCCAGCTCTCTCGATCAGGAAATGATTTTTCTTAATTTTTGATTTCCCATTTCTGGAGTGCAGAGTTGTTATTGGTATCGACTTGAAGCTGAATACAATTTGAATCAACTTTATAATATGTGGCGTTGACAATCGGGCTTTTTGAACAGAACCTACAGGATAAATGGGCCGAAACTAGGTATTTTCTCAGACTCAAATATAGGGCACTCTTATGCCCTGTAAAATGTTACAGTAATTTTCCAGAATTGAATGAAATCACTGTAGCGAAAAATGGGTAAAAATGAATATATTTTCTTGAAAGTAAGTCTTCACACGCAATGTTTCTTTATGACCCACAACGTATTGCATGTAACAAATGTAGCATGCAGTGAGTGAATACATACGCTGTACAGTACATGTATGCTTTCCTAAATTGAAAATTCATCTTGTACAACAATATTTCAAACTCTGTCTTTGGCCTTGGTGGTGTCTGACAGAATTTGGAAAATTCTAAATTGAATATTTTTGTTTAAAATCAAGAATATGCAATATCTTCTGGTTTGGTAAGTTGAATTGTAATTCTTGAAAATGAAAGCTTATTGTGTATTTCCAGTGGTGTGTTACATTATATAATCTAATTCATGGTTTGATATGTTTGCTTATTATTCTCTTTCTCTATTTCTATGTTCACAGGTTGGAGTAGGAAAGTGGAGGAGGTGCTGCCTTTTTATAGAGGGCTTCATAAACATTTCTTTCTCGGTAAGATCGTCTTGAAGATTTAATCTCATTTTTAAGAATAATTTCATGTTTTATATCTTGTAATGTTATTTCATTCCTTTTCTTCTTTCAATGCATGAAATAAGAATTTGGGGGTTCTATAACTATGTTTTTCTTCTGATAATTATCACTCTGTCCAAGTTGTGTAATTGTGTATTTCATTAATCATTGTCTGTTTTGTCGAAGCATTTATCACCCATTTTAGCCATTTACCACACGTGCATGTCTTGTCCAAATTTCATTTTTTGATGAATCATATCCTTTTTTTTGTTCTTTTTTTGTGTGGGTTAATGTGGCAAACCACGCAATCCAAGATAAATTCATAAACTGCAGTCAAGCTTTAGAGATCTCCAGAGCACATACTCGCAATGTAATCTGTTATAAATATAAACTTCCTCAACTTTCCCTGTAATCCCCCTAACACACGGGCTTGTGTCTCTTGTCTGGTTTTCCATAATTCATGTGTTCTAGCAAGATAATCACAAACTAATGCAATTACCAACAATACACTCAATACTCTTACCACCCATATGCTACCCGCATGAAATGATAATACCCTCTGGCGAGCAGAGGAAGAGAGAGAGAGAATATTGAAGCGATGGTTAATGGGTTATAAAGAAAATGATATACTCTCTGTAAGCCATTTATTAGCATTTTCCGGGCTTATTCTTTGTAACTCTTCAGAATAAAGTAGAAGTTTTATGGTCATCAAAATATCCAAGAAAAATAAGAATACTTACAGTAGTGAAATTGTTTCTCACAAAATGAAATTTGCAGGTCTGTATCCAAATACAACAATTTGTATAGGAGCACCTAGAAAACAGAGAAAAACTACCCAGAGAGTCATATTATCACATAAAATAAAATTTAAGCTTTAAATTAACAAATGTTGTTTTCTACAGTTTTTTGGTATAGATGTACACAGTTCCACCACTTTTCTTTAAAAAAAATAAAATGTACCTTATTGCAATATATGAGGTATTGTCAATTAAGACAAATACTATTTGGCTCATATACCTGTAAGGAGAAGGAGGTATGATATATGTAGATTAAACAAAAGATGTTCCTTAATATACCCTTAAAATGATGGCTTTTAATTGATTGCATACAATTTTTGATATCATTTTATTAATGTTAATAAAAGCCAGATACAAACACATGAATGTAGTACCTTGTTGAGTCAGCAACTTCTTGAAATGAGTTGATGAGAAATAAAAATGTAATTTGATACTGTAATGATTGGTTATTAAACCTTCATGAACAGCCATAGCAAATTATTTTTTTATATTATTGTGAAGGGCATACATATGAACACTGGAGTTAGATCTTGGCTGATGTGCAAAGTTCTTCTACCTATGTACATACATGGGGGTGAAATGAAGTTGATATGACCCTGTAGTCCATATTGACACAATGTCATTACGTCAATCGATTCAAGGGCATTTGACAAATATTATTTGAAATGGTTAGGTTGCCTATTATAGCCGTGGTTAGAAATATTTGTTTGTAGAAGGATAAAACAAGCATTACTAAAATAAAAGGCTGATAGAATTGAGATTTTTTTTGATATCTCGTGTTGCACCTAATTTTAGACGACTTTCAGTATTTCCCAATGTTTTATAAACAACAAAAAATAGTTAGTTTTGAGTGTTAGTTATTTCTAAGTGGCAGGATGAGTATTAAAAAATAGTTAATGGAGGAAAATAGTACAAAGTGATGTGTTTCCTATTTATTTCCATGCCGGAATAGCACTGAGCAAAATGTTGAGATCATGTTCAAGTTTAAAGATTCTCAATGTATGTGTAGCGCCATCTATTGGTGTAAATATGCCATGATATATCGGATGATAAGTCAGGCCATCCATCTAATACCCAGTCTGCTACGTACGAGACACACACACACACGTATGCGCACTCTTAGGGAGGGGAGAGAGGGAAGGGAGGGATAAAATGTTGGATGGCTGTCTTGAATGTTAATATATGTGGACTTCCTGAGGCAGACTGAACGTAACCGATCTGGCCCAGGGCGAGAGAGAAGAAAGTCAATCATTACATCACCAGAGAGTAGTGATTAGATCATTTAATTTTCTTAAAAGGTAATTTTTAAATTTATAATGGAGGCCTTGCTGGTTGCTAAATCCACCTGTCAAAGTCATTGAAGAATTTGTGATCGTATCAGGTTATCAATTTCTTTTCATGAGGTGTAGAAGTCTTGAAAAGTTCATCATATCCGTTATTTGCTTTATTAGGTAATAAATCTATGTGCTGGTACTAACGTGTACATCGTGGCTGCTAAGTGCTAAAACTAAGAGAGCATAGAAGGAATGAAATTGAAAAGAAAAGAAGCAAAAGCTATATGTGTGTGCATGTCTGTAGAGTGGGGGGGGGGGGGGGAGGGGGGAGGCTGGAGATTCCAATCCCATGAATGTGTACACGTAGGATGTTTATGCATTCTTTTGAAGCAAAAGGTGATAAGTTCTAAAGTGCAAGTAAAGACTTTGCTTGACTTTTTATTTGTGCTAAAAGAAAAAAAGTTTCCCTTTCCATGTTTCATGCACACTCGGCAGGGAAAAAATTATTTGACAAATTTTGGGGCTACTTTTCAAGCTTGCTTGCATTAAAATTGCACTCTAATAATTTGTTTTGCATGCAGATTTTTGGGGGCTCTTTTATGACTTTCGGGCCACCCCGAGCCCCCATGTACTAATTCACTGACACTCGGTATTGCTCAATTGTAAAACATTTATTAAAGCTGGTAGTGAAATGCTTATTAAATCAATTCAGGATAGAGCGTGAGCCATCGTGATTGCAATATCATGTGTGAGCCTTGAACCTTTGAATGATTTAAGATTATAATTCAATATGATTGATTCCTTTGGTTGTGTCCTTGGAATAATTCATGAAAACCAAAGTACAACTACATTAAAAAACAACAAAAGAATTTAATAAAATCTTCATCTAGGATGACATGTTGCTTACAACATGTGTGTTTAAACAGATTTAATATCCTGCTAGCTCTCACCAGAAAAAAAAAGTGTCTGTTGAGAACTAAAAGGGCATAGTTCATATGATAAAGAGACATAATACTAAATGCTTAGTTGCTCATAGACCAGTGAGAGAGAAGGTTGAGTTCTGGGGAGAGGTGAAAAATAAGTTGTGAGCCTTATCATTGTTATTATGCAACTGTGGAAGAACATCAGAGTAAAAAATGCTTTTCAAATGCCTTCATATTCTAAATATGGCATGTAACATCATAAAAAGCGGGACAGATTTTTATGCCACAAGTTCGCGTGTCCCATTATACATCTTTCTGTGTACAGTGCTTGTTACTTTACCAAAACTGGGCCAAATTTCTTATCATTTTGGTGACTCCAGAACCTTGCAGTACGGTATACACCAATACTTATAATGCTACATGATCAACCTTTTCTGATCGATTCCACACTGTTTCTTTCACGATACAATCGCATGACCAGGACTCAACTTTATCTTTAAGTAGTAGAGACCTCCCCCCCCCCCCCCCCCCCCCCCCCCCCCCACCACCACCAACTCCCAGTCAACGTGAAGTGACATTCCCAGGGATACCAAATCACATGTCTGGTCGGCTCTGACAAAGACAGTAGCTTCTTTCGCACCCATCGGAGGAACATGGCCGCTATTTATAGCAAGCCATCTACGTCAACCACGCAGCTGATGTGTGAAAAGTCACGCATACAACTGAAAAGTGGAAAATGGAAACGTGAGATTGTGTGGACGGGGGAGTCCGAGTCAGTCTGTGCTATTCATTAGATGTACATGCCTAGGTGGATGCTTTGTGTGTGTACACTTGGTGCTGCTGAATAACGAGGGAATATTTGAATTGTAAATTATCAATGGGATGCGATGTCGCCGGCAATACAATGATGATGAGTGGGGTAGGAAGAGAGAGAAATGAGGGAAGCTGATTTTCATCAATGATATCATAATGATAGCGAATGATGGCTAGCAAGTGCTTTTATTAGATGGACCATTATGTCTATTTGATATGTGTTTGGATGTCTATAAAGTACATGTGTAGACGCAGATTGATAATAATAATAATAATAAACGATACTTGTATAGCACTTGTTACATCACTTTTCAGTCTCTATAGGCTTTGTAGAATAAGGAAGAGATAGAGTTAGGCAATAATAAGAAAGTACCATTCAAAACAGGAAATAGGAAAATTGCTCACGAACAGATGAGTCTTCAGTCTGTTTTTGAAATAGTCAACTGTGACTGCCTCGTTAACAATATCGGGTATTCTTTTCCATAATTCAGCTGCTACTCCCTGGAATGAGCGAGCTCCACATGACTTTGTTAATGTTTTTAGGATCTTTCATGACTCAAAGTCATTGTCAATCTTTTGTGTTTCAAGCTCTAACAAAATTTGAGTTACTATTCATTGAGGAAATAAGACTTTTCAGAGTTTTTCTTTGAAGGATTTTAATACATTACACTTCTAAAACAATATAAGGGTTAATCTATCTACCCTGGTATTTAAACATGTGTTCATTGACCTGAATTTGACTTTGAATGCAAGGGTGGGCAGTATAGTGTATACCTTCCACAGGTTTTATCATCAATCTTAAAGTTTACTCACCGCAGTCGATGTAGCTTGTGTGCAAAGGTTGAAATAAGTTTGCTTTAATTGCAGTGATACCTTGCCCAATTAACGATCCTCAGACTTCTGTCAGTAAATCCCCCTCCTACGCCTTGCCTGATACTGATCAGATCTTACAGTAGATAAGAAGGATCATTATTTACAAATCCTTAGCAGATTGACGTCAGGACTCTGGAATTTGCTTATTTTAGACGCCTTGATCTGGCAGTTACCGTTGTAATTTTTGTTGACGTTAAGAAAAGAATGACTAATAAAAACCAAATAGAGGTAATTTTAGACAATTTCTTCCACATTTGTCTCTGACCAAATTCATTATGTTTCTTATTTATAAAGGGCACACACTTGATGTAGAACTGACGTCATGTGGGGGAGGGAGGGGGGTCTTTATCATTTTTAATTCTTGTCAGAATTATCAACATTATTATTTGATGAGTTAATCTTTGGTTGAATTTCATGTAGACAATTTTACAGCTATTCTATGATATTATCTTTATAAGGTTTCATTGAAATAGATATGAATTAAAAATCAAATTAGTTAACCAGAAATTCTATGAAATTTTTGAAATTTACTCTGCGGAATTCCAATGATGAACTTGGGTAAATATGCATGTTAGTTTCTTCAATATTTGATGAAGAATCAAGAATATGGCCTGTTATTCTTTAATTGTTTGTAGAGTTCATGCATGTGCATGAATCCTATACACTCGTAATAAGAACAATTAATCAGTTTTATATTGCACTGGATATTATTTATCTTAGTACATGTACAGTTTGTACCTACAACCACAGATGTACAAAACATGCATTAGGACATACACTTCACGATATATGATGTAGGAAACAATACAGATATAAAGTACAGTGACATCTGAGAGAGCTAGAAGGGCATTAAATATATGTAGAAGTATAAAGGATTAATGTCCTTCTGGCTGTCCTCAGAAAATAGATAGGCCTGCATGTACATGTATATGCATGTTACATATAAAAACAAGTAAAAATGTAGTTGGCAGAGCCATTATTTTTTTTTAATGATTTTATTCTTGCATCAACTCAAATGTTTTTTCTCTGTACAATAGTTGAGTCAGGAAATGTAAAATACCATGATCCCTTTTTACTGTCCAGCTCATTGCGAAATATAATGAGGAATATATATATATATATTTTGTTTGCTACTTCATTTGAGAATTTGTGACCTGCCAATGCATGACAGGTGTAAAATATAACTGACCTCTAGAATAGAATAGGAGCGTCTATTGACTGCTCTGAGCCGGAACTATGATAACTGGAATATCTTGTCCGGCCATGCTTCCCTCATCAATTACTTTCAAACACTAGGAGAAATCATCTCTTGAGAGCCACAAAGGCATTGACACCTTTATACAGAGTAAATGCCTTTCTGGATGTTAACAAACAATATTTGAATATCTTGTATTAGATATTTTGCACAAGACATTATTGCCCTTAAATGAATAAGTAACACAAGATGTATAGAATTTGACTTTGACTTTTTGTGCATTTATTTTAAACCAACTTTAGTTGAATAGTACAATACAATTGTTGTGTTCTATTATATATATTTATTTAAACAAAATATACACATGGAGGTGAATATTATCCATAAAGAGCCAGAAGGGTGTTAATTTATTATAAAACCTGAGTTAATGCTCTTATGGCTCTCTGCAGATGATATGCACTGACTGCTAGTCTGTACATGTACTTGAAGTGTTAATGAACTCAATTTTTGGATTTGAGTTCATTTTGATCCTTGCTTCTATCTAGCTTCTTTTTTTAGTATATTCCATTTTGTACATTTATCCACCTATTTCTTTTTGTGTGTGACTTGAGTATCTGACCCTTTTTCTCTGTACATTCAGACAGGAGTTTTAGGATTCCGGTTGAGCGCCCTCTGCTGGTTACAAGTAGATATCCTCTCTTTCTCGCCGGGCAACGGAGAGGAAGGAGGTATGATGATGGCTAACAAATGAACAAATGTCTTGTTAATATAGCCTTGCATCCCTAACATCATGGCATGCTTTATATAGCCTCATATTGACGTCTTTGAGTTCGAATATTTAATTTTTTTTTTTTTAATCAGAATCTCAGTTCTGCCTTGCTGCTAATAACCTGATCATGTGCATGGGCTCTACTCCATGAATTTACCCCCTCTCCTGATTCATAATGCATCCTACTACCATGTAGAATTAGAGAAAGTGCCCTGTGTGATTTGCATTTCAGTCCCATCTAATGACATTGATGTATGTGCACGAGTACACCCAGCACCAGTTGATATTCAGCAGTGGGACTTGTTGACTAATTACCTGGCATGAAGCGGTTGCGGCCATCCATTCTAGTGGAGGGTCTATGTAATATAGATGACAAGTGAATTGATGTGGCAGTGGAAAGCAAATCCAATTGATGAAATTCAAGGTTTAATAACCTTTGATTTTTTTTAATGAATAATAAACTGTGACAGTAGAGACATACATAACTTGTTGGCATCATTGATGATCAAAGAATATCAAAGGGACGTAAAGGCAATCAAACTCTAAAATTTTCTTTGATATATTGAAATAACCTTGATAGTTTTTATTATGTGGAGTTTCTAAATTGATCTATGAGCAATTCCCAAGATCCAATGAGATTTGTTCAGGTGAATGTAGGGATGTAATGAGTTTGTCTTATGGACATAATACATAGAATTAGTGCACACTTACGGGCCAGTGAGGCGATTAATAATTTTGTAGTAATCATATTCTAATCTGTCTTTGCTAATTTGGCATATTCGGCATTGCTATTACTGCACAGCATAGTCAAGTATAGATGATAATTATGATTCGAATTTAAAAACAAAACAAAACAATGTAAAAACAACAAACAAATGCAACTATACTGGAACTTTTGAAAAATTCTGCTTAAATTTTCTCTTTCATCCTAAAGCTAATTTATAATGACCTTATGTCCATTTGATTTTGGATGACTGTCATTAAAATAGCAACTTTCAAATTCAAATTAAATTCTTCTTCTTTTTCTTTGCTCTTTTCTCTGTTAAGCGAGATTCACTGCCTTGAGCTTCATTCTTTTTCTAATCGCAAGCGCTAAAAGAACGTAAATAAAACATTTTTCAATCTAAGATACAGCTATAATGAGCATTATTACGCCACTTTCATCAACATTGGCATTCTTCCTAAAAATATGAAATAATAATAATAATAATAATTATTTGAAGTTTGAAGAGGTTTATGCCTCCAAAATTTGTTTCATTGGATTGGATTTTTTTCAGGACAAATTTATGAAATGATTTGAGGATTAATAAATGGTTAATGAGACTTATAGAAGAGCTGCATTTACAAGGAATGACATGCATGTATGTACTGTATTGTGTGGAATTATACATGTTTATTGTTTTATTTCAGGATGTTGTATGTTATTCTTCATATTTAAAAAAAAAAAAATCATCCTTCATTTGTTTCTGTTTGCATGCATCTCTGTATACCTTCGATCATGTTTGTGCAATTTGTTGTGTATTTTCAATTCCAATTCCAATTTTATTTCTGTTTCCAACAAAACATTACAAATCTGTTATAATCATTTTCAAAAATTAAGGAATACATATTGGAAACAGAGGGGTCCACTAAGAAGCATGTTGAAAGCTAGATGGGCATTAACTCTGTAGTGAAGGATAAACATGTACGTTTACACCTTTTTGGTTATCTTCAGACAATATCATCTGTTCAGAGCCAGAAGGGCATTAATTCTGTGTAAAAGTTTAGGAGTTAAATGCCCTGTGTAAAATATATCTCTCAAACAGAAATGCCCCCACCATTGCATATTTTATGTCACCTTGTTGTTCCATTTCTTGACCTCACCTTCCCTCCTTCAACTCAACTGTTTCCTCTCTCATTCAGTGATGTATCTTATTACCAACTTTCTATCTTATAGTATTTATATGTTCATGTACTTTGTTTAGACTTACTAGTGTTTGTTGAATTGTTACAGATTATTTGTTTTATGTTTTATGAAATTAAACCGTAATCCACTCCCCCCTCCCAATTGTTTTTATTTTTATTAATATCTATGAACACTGCAATATTCCTGATGTGCATCAGTCTGCGATTTCCTGCGGTAACTTCATATTCGGCTATCTTTGTTATGTCTGTAAGGTACAAAACATTTATGGCTATTTACAAATATTTGACATGAAGTTGAATAGTTAAAAGTAGAACATTTGAAAGGAATGTATATTTAAGGATATATTTGTCCTGCTTACGTCCTTGATTTAGCCTCCTGGTTGTACTTTTAACTCGTCCTTTTTTGTAATTCTGTCTGGGGTATGTGCTGTCTCAAAGTTTACGGAAATGTTTGCTCATACTGAGATTGTCTCATGCGATATGAATGACGTGGAATCCAAAAGCCCTGTTCAGATACGGCATAGTTAACGGCCTGAAAATGAAATCTCCTGCAGCACAAGAAACATTTAATCTGAAATGAATTGCAAATTGGAGTTCAAAAGAGAGCTGCACTTATCCAAGGCCTCTACATGTCATCCTTGATCCGTGTATAATAGACAGATTTGTGACATGCACATGCTGACGTCATTTTATTTCATCAAAGCATTTTCAGGTGTTTTCCGCTTCACATTATTTATTTTCATTTTTTGAAATTTATTGTTATATCACCAGGGTAGCCCATTCAGCAAAATTTGGTCTTCCATGGGAATTTAAGAAAAATGCCTGAGTAAGGCTCACATCTTTCATTACATACATGTAGGTTATGTCAATAATGTGAACAAATCAATTCAGTTTAGCAAATAGAGAGGATTTTGGGATTCAATGGAGAAAGACATGAATGTAATGTAAACATTTCCCCGGTAGTCGGCTAATGTTAATGTGACGCATCCATGATGTACATGTAGTATTGACTGAGCATTCTTCTACAAATACTAGTGGTTGAATTTCCTCGTCTGCAGAGCTATGCATTTTTCTGTTGCATATATGTATGGACATAAAGTAAGCTTGTTGAGGAGTAACTGTGTATGTTTATGTATAGACAGCTTTGTGGACATATATTGTACACTGTTTGCCTCCATGTACTGTAAATGCGATTCTTGTCTATGGAATCATATTTACCAGTGCGATCTAGCGCAATGTGAATTCAACATGTTTACCACAATGTGATCACGTTGTTGAATACTCTTCCCCCCCCCCATTCAATAACAGAAATGCATTGTTAATAAACACTTCCTTGATTTGTACATTTACAAGTGAAATATAACCCTTTTATTTCAACTCTGACCACACCCTTAAGCTCTTGATTACAAAAGAATGAAAAGTTGTTTTTGTTTTTCAGTTATTTCCAAGTGGATGTTCAAGACTTTGAAAGGGCATAGACAAGTGGAACATTAATAATATAATTTTCATAATTGAAATAAATAGCATGAAGTACATCAGTCTTGAGTATTTATATTTTTCCTGGATCTGGCGAACATTAAGATTAGATCGCAAGCAATGTATTCATATAATTATAACCACTTTCACCTTGGATTGAATTGAATACATATAGGTGGCATTATTCTCAGTCCATTATTCTTTTCTATGACAGGGCATGGCTACATTCACGAGGGTAACAAGAGGAGCGGTGGCTGGCGTCGCTCACTCTATTTAGTCGGGGTGGGAAGGTGACGGTGGACTCGGTTTTAAAATTAGGAGGAAATCAGAGCGAATAGAAGCTCAATAGATTGTATGGTGTGTAAACAAATCACAGGCACCCGGGAAAGCATGCTTGGCTGCCTGTCAATTTCTCTTTTTCATCAGGCCTTTTTTTACTTTTGAACGTGGATAGAGAGATGGTGTTAATTTGATGTGAAATCATGGGAATAATTGGAGGCAGGCAGTCAGTCAATTATCACTCTGACTTGTTTGGAAGATAGTAGTTTGTGTGACAGTCTCTTCCCCCATTTCAATCTCTTGCATGACTACAATCTGAATCTATATTTCATTCTATCTATATATCTATCTATCTTTCTATCTATCTATCTATAGATCTATTTACCTATCTATCTGTCTACCTACATATTTATCTATTTATCTATTTATCTGTTTATCTAGCTATATATCTATAGATTTGGATATATATCTGCCTACCTATTTATCTATATCTTTATATTTATGTATCCATCTACCTACCTATTTATCTATCTATATACCTATATATCTATCTAATCTACTCTCTCCCTCTCTCTCTCTCTCTCTCTCTCTCTCTACAGTATATATAATTTGATATGTTCTAATCTACTGTATATCTATAGCTCCATGCTAGAATTCTTGCACTTTATGAATGATTGAAGCTCTTTGCAGGGAATTCTTAGCAAATAACATGTACCACAGACAGTTATACAGGGTTGATATGCAAGATCTGCCACACAGGTCAGCTTCTAATATGTAACATGAACTGCACTGGTACAAGAATCTATCCTGTCTAAATTTATTCCAATCTATATGCGATAGTAAAGGTTAATCCATTTATGCTGAATCCTGCTTTGTGGCACTCGTAGAGTAGAGTAGTTTTCCATTTCTTGCACGTAGTATGCTAATATGCTATGATGACCGGAAGCGTGGGAGACGACTATTTTCAAATGTCAAAAATCTTCTCAAGAATTTCCCTGAATTGCTGTCATCTAAGTGGGGTAAGATACACATCCTTCTTGACATTTTCCAAACAACCTGCACAAATCTGATATGATTTATGCAATTTTTCATGACATTTTGACCCAGAATCTTCAGTCTTGAGAGGGTGGTCTTCTCACGAAGGCATGTTAAATTGCTCTCAAGTCACAGGAATGTGAACACAGTAAAAATAGATAATAAAGATATTTTCAAAAAATGTATGAGGCCTAACGGCCTATATAGATTTCATCAGTCTAAAGCTCCTGATTTTGCAAGTCTAAAGTCCAAAGGGATTGGCTCGTGATTTTTTTTGTGGGAAGATTTTGCTTCCAGTTCTAGTGTGTATTGTATTTTTTTAATATCAATTTTTTATGTGGGGAAGGAAAGCCTTAGGTTCAAGGGTTTTAATGCATCAACACAGAACCATTAAACATGGTCACAAATATTGATACCGAGTCTCTGTTTGGTTGATCTGAATACTGTGCGATCAAAAGAGTAATAGTCACACATTCCAATAGGTCCAATGCTTTGGGACCTGCCCATGCAGTGACTAACTTTAGGAAATGTTTGTGACTCTGTTCAGCTAGATCTAGAGCATGTCCTAATTAACAACTTGACAAGTGGTGTTGGAAAGGGAAAGAGAAATTAGGAATTGGAACATGGCAATGTGGAGAGATATTGTCGAGTGGATAAGAGGACCTCTTTATGATCCTCAACCACCCTCCCGATCCTTACATTCATACCTATGGTATTGGTAAGATGAACCTCCAGGTGTATGGATCATGTTGCAGCTCCCTCGACGCTGAATAGTACATGTGGGACCAATGCCTGGAATGATATCGTGGGTAGAGAGTACTCAAAAAACTTGTCTACTTTTAAGTGACGCATCGTTGTTATTATAGATGTTATATTTGACAAGACTGAAATATACTGGAGATATAACCTGAAGGAGAAACAGGTGAAAGGGGAATGACTGGAAATCAGAGGAGAAAAAGTAATATAAAAGGGAATAGAAGGAAGAATTTTAAAAACAGCTGCTATATTTGTGTGGAAACTGTCTGTTTTTATCTTACTTTGACAAAATCAAAAAGACTTTCAAGAGATTAACTTCAAGGAGAGTCAATTCCCTATGGTATTGCTTATAGAATTCATGTTCAGATTATGTCAGATCTGTCAGTGTCATGTTCAATAACGCTGTTGAAATTGCCATAGGTTGAGTTTCTTAAAAGTCTTTTCGATCACGTTCTTCCTAGTTATGCACTCCGAGAAATGATATAGCTCATCTTATCCATTTTGAATAAACGCTTTGGTCACCACCCCATACTGGACCCCAACCAGCGATTTAACCATTCCGGCCACACTGTGACGTGGTTGTCTCTTGCAATACAAACATGTGCACGCTCAGTACCTAACTCTTCCAGGAGGGGCAGTATCGTGTTATATACACTAGTGGATTGACAAGCTTGTTTCCTCAACCGTTCTCTTGAGTTCACTTAACTTCTCTGAGTGGTTATCATGAGTTGGATTTTGAAAACTTTCATTTATCTCTTTTAAACTGTTCCTTTCCAAGTTCGAACTTTGAAGGAATGTGTTGCAAAGATGCTACATTACAGGGTTATACTGATGCCATGCAGTCATAGTTGTTTACTTTTATATTACAGTGTAGTAGTAATACTACTAGTGATGGTATTGATAGTGATGTCAACAAAAACAACAACAAAAATAATAACAACAACAATAAAAGTTACATTTATAAATACTTTTTCCTGAGGATAAAAAGAGCTGGAGACTTTACCTTTAGTATTGACATCTTTCGTAGGATGGATTTATGAATATCCATGTAGGCTCAGGTCTGATAGAATTTACAAGTTGATTTGAAATGAGATAAGATAGCAAAAGGGTAGATGTAATTAGTGTGTTACAGAGCTAGGTGTCAGCTGTTCTTCAGAATTGTAATACTACTAGTGATGGTATTGATAGTGATGTCAACAAAAACAACAACAAAAATAATAACAACAACAATAAAAGTTACATTTATAAATACTTTTTCCTGAGGATAAAAAGAGCTGGAGACTTTACCTTTAGTATTGACATCTTTCGTAGGATGGATTTATGAATATCCATGTAGGCTCAGGTCTGATAGAATTTACAAGTTGATTTGAAATGAGATAAGATAGCAAAAGGGTAGATGTAATTAGTGTGTTACAGAGCTAGGTGTCAGCTGTTCTTCAGAATTGTAAAAATGTAATCAGGTCAAACACACCTCTCAAAGGGCAAGACACGTCATGTTGCGTAACCAATATTGCAGTACATGTATGTTCTCTGTCTTTGTACAGATAGAAAGAAGATGACTTGTACTCAAAGACACTACATGTATGGTAAAAGTTTTTTTAATTGGAAGTCTTTCTGCTCGAATTTCTTTCAAATTTAAACACAAAACAAAATAGCTGCAACGTACCTGTGTTAGCAGCTTCGATCATGGTATAAGTTGTTTCATTGGAAGTCTTTCTGACCAATTTTCTTTCACATTTAAACACCAACAAAATAACTGCAATGTACATGTGTTAAGCAGCTTTGTTTCAATTTACAACTCAGTGCGAGTATTGGCAATGAATTGGAGCATTAATCCCCAGCTTGATTAGAAGAAAATTAGTCTCCATAGCTGCCCTACTGTGAACTCCACCTCGTCTCACCTCGTCTCACAGAGGCTGTGTGTTTCCCCCCTTTGCAGAGCCTCATCGCTGTAGATCGGACCATTGTGGCCTTCGTGTTGAACTCGGTCGGTCCGCCCGCCCGCCTCTCTGTTTTAACCAGCCCCACTGACCTTCTGGCTATTCTAAATATTAGCTTCCCTTCTTTCTCTTCTCTGCGAGAGGTTTAAGTTCGGGGCGGGAGGAGAGGTGAAACGTGTCTCTGATCAAGCCCTGGATGCATGCATAGTGGATACTCGATGGAGTGGTCGAGGAGACAGGATAACGATTGAACCTTGGAGTGAAGCAAAGAAATACCCTAACCAAGCTCGTATTATCCAGAGCACATGTGCAACATAGATAGTTGGACCATTAAATGCTAGCCTTTGTGCCTGCCGAGTATCTGTTATTAGATAACGCCCAAATATATATCAGTAGTCCATGACCTATTTGAGTTGTTTGGTTTTCCATCAAAGCTTGCATCTATATTTATAGCCATGTATATCCATGCTTGTTCCCAGGGTCCATACTTAGTCTGTCTTTAAATAGACCCCTCTATGTGCAATATGCAGTTTCCTGATCCCTCTCAGGGCACCCTCCAAGTGTAAATTTTCTTGAGGGGTTTCTTTTCAGATTATAACAACTCACAAAGAAGGACATTCAGGGTGCTGACAATTTGTAGAGGCCACTCGAGCCATATCTGTGTAAAATCATACAGAGCCCTTGTGTAGTTTTAAATGAGGCCCTAACAGGACATTGAAGGTTCTCTAGTACATTGAGGGCCTATCTGCTCTTGTAGTACTTGGGTAAAATAGATAATCAAGAAGTAACATCCAATCTTCCCATTGTCATGGACCAGTCACTCTCATAACACGTTCACATCTTATGCTGATTAATAAATATATTATTTGAAATATGAATATAATTACTTTTGGTTTGCGAGTATACTTGATATGCAAGCTATAACATGGCAGGTCAGCTGCACCTTCTGTTAACCCTAGAACCTCTCCACCCCTTGAAGAGAAAGAATCAATATGCGGTTTAATAAACTTTGGGATTCTATACACCACTGCTGTTGATGGTTTGTCCAGTATGACTGGCATTAATTACCAGCTTTTGTAGAACCCTCTGGCAAGGTGTGTAAGTAGTGAGACAGGGAGAGAGGGTAGATTTGGTGACAAGTGTTTCATGCAAAAGGGCATCAGTTTACATAGAGATGGCACTTTGAATGGTATGTTCAGAGCTAGAAGGGCATTAACTCTGTGTTAAAGTGTAGGAGTAATGCCTTCTGGCTCTCAATAGATGGTATATTCTCAGGCTCTAGACCTCTCAAAATGAACTTGAATAGAAATAGTTTTAGGAGTTAAAGGTACTATGGAGTTCATGTTTCACTTATGATTACCATGAAATATGGCTAATAACTTTTGTACTGTGATTAACCGGATACAAATAAGACCAAGATAAAAACAAGTCTATTGAAAAGGCGTTTTTGCAAGAAATTGTATCCAACTGATCAGAAGAGTTCATTTGCAAAAGAAAAATACAATTTGATATCCATATCAAATTTACATCTGTTGAACAAGTTGAACTTTGGAATC